CACAAGTTTTTGGAAATAATAACATAGTTGAGATCATAGCTTCAGTCTGCTCACACGTATCTCAGGACGAATATTCCAGCATTTTCCAGACCTTTTTGAATTGCAGTAATCCAAAGAATTGAGACAGAAATCAAATTTAGACATCACATTCAGCTTCTATAGCAGTAAAAACTGAAAACAGTCAATCTGGTTTCCAAAACAACATGAGACAGATCACTCACAGAAAAACAGCTGAATTATCTCAGAACTTCTTTCTTACTATTTCCCACAACTGCCTGCATATCCAGAAGTGACTCTTCCTTGCAGTATTTCTAGGCTAAGAGAGGTGTACTGCTTAGAGATAACTGCTAACTCCTAACCTATGTTAATGTCAGGACATCCACAGCTTTCTCCATTAGTTGTCTGGCTTCCTCTTGCAATATAAAACCCAGAACTTTTCCAGCTTCCTTCTATTCCAGAAAGCACCTTTTTGGCAGATTCAGTGGAGGTCACTCTTCAATTCTGTTTATCTAGTGATGTCTGGTCTTTCCCTCAATTTTACAATATGCTGAAGGATCTCCTGACTCCTGCCATCCTGGCCTCTTGCAGGTTTCATGTGGAGAGTTCAATACTCAGCAGGCCTCAGTTCTGTACCATGGCAAAAATCTTGTACATCAATATAAAACCTTCCCTACAGCAAAGAGGAGATGTGGTAGTTACATTATTCAAATTCTTGTATTTATAGCCAGACAATTTCACAATAACCCATAAAATCCACTCTAGCTTACTCGAAAGGACTTACTAGCCAGAGGAAACAATTCCCATAAAGGCTGACAGTCTGAGCAGAAGTTCAACAAACTCTGATGTCTGCAATGGGACAAAGAATTGTGGTAAACCCGAATGACTCCAAATCTCAATAGAGTGTGTGCTGCTACTCAGCCACCAAAAGCTGAGGGTGTTGGGTTCCCATCACTCTATCCTTGATCTTCATTAAAAGGTCACCTTCTTGTTCAAGATGGAGCTGGACAAACAGAAACACTGGAAATCCTGTGTGAAATGAATCAACAGCCTAATTGCTCTGGATAACTATCTGTATAACAATTTGAGACAACATTAGGATTTCTGCTCAGAAATCACATGCCTTCTGAAAGTCAGGAGAGTCCTGAAGACTGCTTCCCTTGGGCACCAGTACAGGTCACCTCAGCACTTGCTCCCACCCTTTTGACAGGATCGCTTTTAGACTGGTGCTGCTGGGGTCTAAACAACATCAGGCCTGGAAAAGTAAGATTTCTTCCATTTCTCTTCTCCCAGAGGAGTTTATTCTAGAAACATATCCCCATTAAGAGAGATTGTGAATAAATCACAAACGCAATATTAAAGCAGTGCTGATTGTTCAATCAGTATCAATAAATTAATGTGCCCTGTTAAAGAAGACCTGTTACGTTGATTTTTCAGGCTTCGTCTTTGATTTCTTCCCTTTCTCAGAAACCTAATTACTCATTCTTATTTTCCCACTGCTGATATAAGACAGTATCTTGAATCCCTTTTGTTCTTTTTTATCATATTTATTTCTTCTATTAGATATTGTGGTGAACTTTCAGCTCCTGGGTCTTTGAAGCTGTTTTCTGACATTTTCATGGCCTATCCAGAGACAGATGGAAAGATGACCAAGAACCTCTTTGATCTTTCTATTACTCCGTAATTATTTCTCTTATCTATTTTCCTGGGCAGTTCCTACTTTAAACAAGAAACCTTGCAAAGAAGGATTTAAAATTGACTGCCAAGGCGACAAGGCAGACAGGTCTACAGAAATATTTAGTCTATACTGTGTTACAAAAAGGCCCTCAAAGAATTTCTTTGGGAGAAGAATCGATACTACATTTTATGTTAGTTATAGCAGTTAGCCATATTAGCTTTCTTTGATTTGATGAGGCTTCCTTTCCCTTAGCTTCAGTGCAGACTGAGAATTACAAAAAGAAAATTTACTGTTGTGGAAAAAATATAATCTAATCACGTGGTAAGACAGTATTTTTGTGTAGTCAAACACGTCATGGGAATAAAAATAAAGAAAATATTCAGTGGCTAGTGTGTGAGGATATATAAAATATCTTAACAGCCAGAGCAATGATTTGGAAGTAATTTCTCTCTCCTATCCTTGCGGAAGTACCTTTTGTATACTGGAGGTGCCCAAGAGTAAATTATAGCAGATTCAGGAGCACAAACTATTTTCCCTGTATTTGTTCAATTCTTTGAAATTAATCTGAGATATAACAAAACAGCCTTTGAAACTGCTTGTAAGATATGGACTTACCCAGGTAACTGGATTATATATACACTACATTCCAACCACACTGTGTGTCTTTCAAGCAACTAAAGATCCATACTAAGGAAATCCATGTCATATACCATTTATTGGCAGAAAAAAAAAAAAAAAAGATACAATGGTTGGAGAAATCATCAGAGGAAAACTGTGACAGCGTAGTAGCAAGAAGTAATAATCCCAAAGGAATACTGAGTGAGAAAATGGCGTGGGAAGAAGACAGAGTTCCCCCATGAGGGAGAAAAAAAAAAGTCTGGCAAAATAAAGAAGATTATAAAACAGACAGAAAGAAATGATTTATCATCAAACAACAACAACAAAAATACATAAAAACTTTTCAGCCTTTGGAAGGAAGTCAGATTTTGCTGATTTCATGGACAGAATGAAAAAGTCTGAACACAGTTATCTCACTTCAATATTTCTGTTTGCCAGAGTTAACATTAGCAAATAACTGAGGAGGTTGAGATACAGGAGGTCAGGCAGTGTGGGCGTCAAGAAGGATGGAAAGATAAAAGAACTTGCAGCAGTCAAAGCGGCAATGAGTGTTTGCTGAGGCTGCCACATCCTTTCAAATAAAAAAAAGAATAGAAAGATTTTAACATGCTGTCTTTTTGACAGAGACTTGCCTCCTGTATAATAATTTTATTATTATTATTATTATTATTATTCACGAGGCAGTAGACTTAAAAAGAGTAATTTCCAGAATTTCTGAAATAGATGAAGTCTTGACCTCAATAATAAGATTTTAGCCTTGCTGGTTGCCATAGAATTCTGCGTAATACCAGACAAATCACCTACAATTAATGTTCTTACAGGTGGCCACTAACTACATGATTTTCATTTCCTAATCTTCAGTTGGGAGCCTGGGATCTGGTTTGCAGAAATAGCCAGTATTTACAGCTGTGGCTCATTAATGAACTACCTGAGACAGGCTGACTGACTCAACTTGCCCAATCTTTCCTGAGTTGTTTTTTATTCCTCTGTGTCTATGTGAAACTAAAAAAACAGCTATGCTATAAAGATTTTCTTAAAAAAGAGGAAAACTCATACCTCATTTCCAATCTAGGTGAAGATCAGTCCCATATTTCCTATGGTATTGATTAAATAAGAAAATACCTAGAAGGCAGGTTTTTTTTCATTTAACAAAATGCCATATAATACCTAGTATATTCTCAAATAATTTTGTAACCTTTTTTGTATGTGGCACTTTTAATAACCTCATTTTATATTTGATAGTTTATAGGCCCTAGTTTAGAAAAAATCTTTAACACAAAGTTTTGCAATAATCAGACTTTATTCAGCACAGTAGCAGATTAAGTGGTGTTCTGCTTCCTTATAATATCTGTTTATTTTATCTTCTGACAAATTCAATAGGAATAAAAGGATTCAATTTTGACTAAAGCAAATGCTACAACTTCCCTATCCAAAGAAACAGGGACAAACCGAAGAAATAGATGCAAAAGATTCTCACAATGCTTTATGGCTGAGCATAAAGTCAAGCCCTCAATTTAACAGGATATGTAAGCATATACTTATCAGTGATTTTATGAGCCATCCCAGTGACAAATGCTGTACTGCATCTGGAGTTGATCTTGTGTTTAGATATGTGCTGAATCAAAAACCTGATATATCCCTATACTCTGTAATCCTCTGCTCTCTTGAGACCTCACTTGATGTCCCCAACTTAAGAAGGCCATGGAACTTTTGAAGCAAGTCCAGAGGAGGGCCACGAGGATGATCAGGGGGCTGAAGCACCTCCCGTATGAAGACAGGCTAAGAAAATTGGGGCTGTTTAGCCTGGAGAAGAGAAGGATGCATGGAGACCTCATAGCAGCCTTCCAGTATCTGAAGGGAGCTTACAAGGCTGCTGGAGAGGGACCCTTCATCAGGAATTATAGCGACAGGACAAGGGCTAATGGGTTCAGACAAACAGAGGAGATTTAGGTTGTTTATAAGAAAGAAGTTCTTTACTGTGAGGGTGGTGAGGCACTGGAAGAGGTTGCCCAAGGCAGTGGTGAATGCTCCATCCCTAGCAATGTTTAAGGCCAAGGTGGACTGAGTCTTGGGCAACATGGTCTAGTGTGAGGCATTCCTGCCCATGGCAGGAGGGTTGGAATTAGATGATCTTAAGGTCCTTTCCAACCCAAACCATTCTGTAATTCTTTGATTCTATGTATACTTCATCACTGGTGTAAAACATTAATCAAGTATTTTCCAAAGACTGGGTAAAAAGGCTTTTTAAATCTGAGCATCAGGTCCCAGCAACCTCTTAATCCAGAAAAGACATGAGATTCTAGGGGTAGTTCTTCCCTATACTTTAGGTCTGCTGCCACACCCAGACTTCGTGGGAAAAGACAGGAAGATACAAGGAAAGTTGATGCATCCTCAGTGTCCTGAATCAGCCACAAGTGCCAATACTCCTCTTAAAGCCTCCTCTACTCTCCTCCTTTCTCCCCCCGAACACACACATACACAGTCACTCACTCCCTAACTCAGACTGCAGCCAAATGCCACAATTCATAATATCTCTGTTGCAGACAAAATTTGTACTTTTTGGAATTCCTAACATTTTAGTTTCCCCTAAAAAGGCATTTTTGTGAACCACTTTTAATCTATTAACCCCATTTTACACCCATTGACTATAGTTATACATACACAATGAAAGAACAGCCCCATGTCATGCCTGTACAGACTAACTCACCCTGGCTGCGTGTCATCGGTAACACAATGGTACGTAAAAGTTCCAAACATCTGCACTCCCAGGATCCCATACAGGAGGAGAAAGAATAGAAGGAAAATTGAAACGCTCCAGATTTGCTCTCCAGAACGCCTGTCAAAAAGATAAACATGACACTGAATGCATGGGTATCATGAAGCCTCCTCTGAAAAGCTCCAAAATACACAATATGATCACACAGAGAAAGTAGTATTTCATCCTGCACAAAACTTGTCCTTAAACCTGACCTCTAACTCAGTGCAAAGATCGAATGGGGGGCCATGATTTTTTTTAAACCTGTAAGTTAGAGTAACTAAATCAGCTGTAAACTAAAAAAGGTGGGAGAAAATAAATAAATAAAATAAAATGCATAAAAACTAGTGTTTGTAAAATAGTATCTAATGACTTCTACAGACAAAACATGATGATGAAGTTAAGCTGATACAGAATATAGACCAAAGAACTTTCACATTACCACTACATGGCTTCTGCTATTACATGCTGTACCAAACATACTTACGTGTATTTTCTTGCATGTAAGCATCTCTGTACATACACCAATAAACATACACTCATAACTCTAATGGTTGGGGCACATGCTCATGTACTTTATTTACCCTACTAGGAGAGTCCACCTTGATTACTACGTGGCCATATTAATGGAACAGAATTTATTGCCATTGGTTGAAAAGTGATGGCTACAGTTATTAGCAACAAACTAGGATTTCTTTAAATATTTGATCATTTTCTAGGAAACTCGATTCCTTAAATAGAGTAACAGCAGAATTTTTTGGCCAGAACTAAAACTCAGGAAGAAAACACCCACTAAGCATGAAGGGTCATTTTCTAAGCTGCATAGTCAGTCTTCTAAGGTAAAACTGAAATTCTCTGATGTTATTTCGATAAGAGCCTTACTTACTTCAAGATATTTGTTATCCTAGTTCTTGGCAGCTCAAAACGAAAATATATCCGGAATGCTCGAATCATAATGAGTGGTCGTGGAATGCGTAACATGCCCCATGGTGACATCTGGTCAACTATTTCAGCAATTTCAAACACCTACAAACAAAAGAATTGGGAGTTTTTCTGGATGACCCTGTGTTTTCCTGTATACATTTACTAAACTTTTAAAACTGTGAAACTTGTTTTCATCTTCAAACTTCTCTTTTATTATTTTATGGTTCATATAAACCATGGTTTCTTTTTAAAGACTTAAGATATCTTTTAATGCATTTCTAAGTTATCCTAATGAAATTCAAAAACTATATTCTGCCCATGTTCGTAACGCTTCGGTCTCAAACAACTCAAGAAGATAGGGGAAGGTTGTGTCAGCTGCCTGATACTGTGCTTGTCCTACCCCACAGATTTCCCACAACATTGATAAAAGTGAGTAATTTACGTTTCCGAAGATGAAAATCAGTATCTGTGTGGCACACCACTAAGGTTTTGCTATGATATAAAAGTACACATACGTTTTACACAGATCACCTTGTAAGTTGCTATATGCTTATAAATTCTCCATTTAATTTCAAGTATGTGAGAAAACTGTACATGTTCTTCTCCTAAACTCCACTTACTTACAACATAAATTTAAGCCAAGCCACAGAACAGGCAACTACCTCCTTAATACACTGACAGGTTAAGCACTCCATGAAGATTATTCAGCTCAATGGTTGGGCAAAAATGTCTTGGTTTTAATCCCTGTCTCTCACTCTGACAATAACTACTTAATTTAACATTTGTTCAAAGTACTAAGAAAATGGAGGGGGAACCTGGCATATCTGACAGTGCTTATCTGTACTGATAACTGTCACTCTGCATGTGTACATGATGTACCAAAGTTTCCCCTGTGTATAAAGTAGAAAATTACGTGCCTCAAGTTTGTCAGAAGTGGATAAGTAACACCTCACAGCAATTGCTACAGAACTTTTACAATTTTTACACTACTGCAGGCCCAGTCTCAGAGTCTTCAATCTGTTCTTACCCCCAAAACTGGCTATTGTTAAGGACTGATTGGTTTGCAGGACACAATCCGACCTCTACCTACACATTTCTGCAACATGTCCAAGTTCCCTTCCTTATGAAAATGTATCAAATTATTTCCAAATGTATTTATTATTATTTTTTCCACTGTGCTTTAACTTGACTTCTGGAAAAGGTTTTGTTAGGTGTGGTTAATATTCCATGAAACCCTTTCACTCACCATATCAATACATCGACAGCATAGCAAATATCTAACACGGGAATCATTCTCTCTTTAATTGCCTAAGCTAGTCACCAAGGCATCCTACTAGGCTCAATGAAAGGAGATGAGCACAACTTTCATATGGAGCTAAGAGATAAATGACTCTCTGAAGATCCTTCTCTTTCCTTTTCACTATGCAGAGAGTTTACGGTAACAGGCTTCAGATTAATGTTTAACTTCTCAGTAAGAAAAATTAATCAAGATAAATTTAACACAAATGTAGATATACTGCAATGTGCAATTATAGAACTATTGAATTCAGCACAGGTTTTTTTTAAACAATTTGACCCATGTAGTGCAGAAGCTACATTTCTGCAACTTGTAATTACTTGGTTGCACCATGTATTTTTCGCAATTAAAGAACTATTCATTGAGAAAGGCTAGTGAATAATTACCTGTAAAACAAGTGACACCCAAAGACAAAAGACCATGAATCCATCAAACACGCACCAACGATCTTTTACGTAGGAGCTATCACCCTACAAGAGAGAGAAAAGCTAAGAGATCATTGCTGGTTTACTGTCATGATTTACAAATATCATAAACAAAAGTTCTTGGAAGAAGGAAAAGTCTTCTTTGTACTACTTTTAAAATGCCACTTTTGAAAGACTCCAAAAGCCTAGTATGCAGACTAGAATATGCTGGAAATGTACAAACACATCTGTGTAAGTAAATAGTAGTGTACCTTAGGGCACATAAACACCCCTTTCTAAATGAGATTTCTCCCAACAGACTGAACATATCCCTTCCCTGCCTTAAAACATTCTCTGGTTTCTTTTCTTTGTTTAGTATTCCCTGAGATACAAACTACAGTGTTTGACATCTGCTTTGGGGAAAAAATTATTGCTGCATCTCAAGAACCTTGAAGACATTACTAGACTTTGGCCTGTTATGCGATTCTTGGCTGGATACACGTTGTTTCTTATCTCGGTGATAGTTATTTCAGACAACCTGTACTTGTTTTCACGTCTCAGCATTTTCATTGATTCTAAAAGCACAGACAGGATGTTTTGTTTTAATCTAATATTTTCAATGACATACACTGTCCTAAAATTGATTTATCATTCCTTGCAGTAGATGACAGCAAGATACATTGTGTCAAGAGACAAAATATTATTTTTTTTTTTAAAAAGAGCTTTATTTCAGTTGCAAAAATTCTTTCAGGCAGAAGTGGATAAAGTAAGGGTATAATGAAAACACAGTAAGTGATTTTCAACTCAGAAATAAAGGAAAGAGAGCTTCAATATTATTTTCAGACAGAGGATTTTGCAACACGCAAGGATATTAAAGTTCTCAATCCAAGAATTAAGAGGAGAAAGACTGCAGATCAGGGAAACAACAGAGCAGGAATTTTTACATCCTATTTTTAACCCATCCTTCCTGAAGAAAGTAGACTTAGTTCCACAAGTAAAGTCTGAGCTAATCAGTAACTCTACTCAAGGCTGAACAAACACACCTGCTTCAGTTCAGGAAGCAGACAGATACACATTGTTTATCTGAAGAGATTTGCTACCAACACCCCCCTCTCTCCTCTCCCTCTGTTCCCTCTTGGTGAACGAATCTCATATGAGATTTGTATGAACATGCAACTTGAGTCCTTCAACTGGGGATTTGAACAAAGATGGTGATTGGGCTTTCTGTTGCTGAAGAACCCTTTGAAACTTACTTTTCTTCTCTCAAGCACTCTTTGTCTAAAGCAAAAGTTTTCCCTGAGTTCTGCTGTACAGATCTGAGCATGAACTTGTGCAGGAATTCCTGTATTCACCCTCCTCTGAATAACCCGTCAAGTACTCACTAAAAGCCAAATCTTTCTTTAGAAATTGCTTTTTCTCTCCACAATAGGTGTGGCATGATTGAAGCAGCCTCTGCTGTTTTCTCCTGACAAAGGAAGATGTTGTGAGCTTTCCCAGTGTTCTCACCAGTCAGACAGCTCCACCACCTCACTTCTCTCATAGTCACATCAGGCCAGCTTCCACAGCTGTATCTTCCTGGTCAGGGAGGCTTCCAGTGGATCACCCCTAGAAACTTAGGGCACCTTAATGACATCTGTAAAAACTACTCATTTTAGGGGAGGATCTGGCCCTTTCTGCTTTGCACCTAGGGAGCAAATCCTTTTCATGTCTGTTATTTGGCTGGCAGTGGATTTATTTGGTGGGGAATCTTTAATGCTTTTATACTGTGTACTGGCACATGAGATGTTATTTGCTGTGGGAAGCAATTTTACGGCAGGATCACATCCTGCTTAGTGCAAAAATCCGAATATACTTTTTGGTACAAACCTTGATATTGACATCTAGTGCTACTTCATGAAAAAAATCTAATTCTGACTAAACACAGGCTATCACTCAATATTAACAGCAGTGAACAGGAGTTTTATTCACATTTGGAAAAAGCCTTGGGCTGAAATTACAGACTCATGGCCAATGCAGCCTTTCTTAGACTTGGAAATGAATACAGATACATGAAATTTAAATACATCTGACGACATCTTACCTAAACCAGCTAAATACCTGAAGTATTGCAATATGTTAATCCCTTGACCTTTTCCCATCATATCTGCTGAAATTCGAGAATTATTGATGAGTTTTGTTTCAGTAATTTTTTGTGAATGCACTATCCCATACCATTTACATTATGGTTTATAAGTCTTTGAAATGTGATCTAAACATTTGAAAAAGATGAAGGATTAGTACTACAGACTAGAAACCTTATGCTGAGACTAATCCAAACCTCTTAATGTCATTAAAGTTGCTGACTTCCTACTGCCTATAGTAGACAGTGGATTTTCTAATGTGCACAGCAAGACCTGAAAACTTCTCCAGCAACATGACTTACAGTCTATCTAGACAACAAAATCATTTGTCTCTGGCAGAGCAGTGGGTACCAGTCTACTTACACAGTCCATGACTGCAGGCTTGGAACAGCCTTTGGAAGGCTTCTGTACCCCCCACTTAATGCCTGTCCCAGGCAGCCTAAGGGGCACTACTTGAACTCAGCGGACTACCTAACTAACAGCTATTAAAGTCTAAAGCAGCAATACTGCTTAGCTGTTAGATGGATCAATCTTTTCTTTGTTAATTAGAGAACTATTCATTATTTTGTCATACCCTTCCTAGTCTCCATAGACAGCTTTTCCTAATACACTTTTTTTTCATCAGTATTTATTTATGGCAGGTCAGCATCACTGTTAGGCTAGAACACAACCATGGAAACGGCCTTGCTGGTAAATCACACATGTGGAATGGATCAGAAGTCTGCCTTGCTCTTAAAAGATGTTAAATCTGAATTAATCTGAAATTTGACATCTCAGAAGAACAGACAAGCTTGACATAACAGTCTGTAATTAAAATATTCTCTGCCTTATAAGAAGTTAACTTAATTTTCTATGGCAATGTTGTCGTAACTAAGGAAGAATACTTCAAGTTCAGCATTAATACTTAAATCATGGATTCATAGAATAGTTAGGGTTGGAAAGGACCTTAAGATCATCTAGTTCCAAGCCCCCTGCCATGGGCAGGGACACCTCACACTAAACCATCTCAGCCAAGGCTTTGTCCAGCCTGGTCTTGAACACTTTAACGGATGAAGCATTCACAACTTCCTTGGGCATTAATGTCTCTTTGTCTCCTCAAAAATAGGACCAACAAATAACTCTCCTCCCTTCTCCCTACACTAAGCTTATTTCACCAGATTTGGCCTAATTTTAGCACCATTACATTAACTGAGTACAACGTATTAGCTCATTACTTCAATTTCATTTTGATATGCAATACTGATACCCCAATAACCTCACTGAGATTCCCAAAGATAAACTTTCTCAACTGTAACCAGGACATTAAAGATAAAACACCATTACCAGTATTAAGTGCTGTAAAAAGTCATTACACAAGTTCACAGAAAAAAAAAACCAATTTTGTAAGACCGAACTCACTGGAAATGTGATCCAATACAAAATACAGATGGAACCACAGACAGAAGTAATAATGCCTGAGATAGTTACTCCATGAGAGCTGTAACAGTTTAAATTACATTAGAATGGAAGGCAAGCCAGACTAAATTTTTTAATAAAAGCATACTCCCTTATCAACCTTGCTGAAAACAAAATACTCTACAAAATCAACATCTGAATTGCATAAAGCAATCTGCTAGAAGATTGATTATGTCTACTGATTTTGTTAGGCAATTTCAATATCTCATTATTAAGGTTGGCATCTTAGCTGGATGACAGCACAGTCACCTCCTAGGTCATTTCTGCCCTGCTTATCTCTTAACATCTCAGGAACACTCAGAATGAACAGCAAATATCCCTGCAAGTGGAAAGCCTCCTCTGCCTCCCTGCTTGCCTTCAGAAATCTTTTTTCTTGTCTCACCTGTGACTACAACCTGTTCTCTGAATTCTTCCCTCCCTCCTCTTTCCAGATGCCTCTGTGGAAAAACTAAACAAAAGAAGTGATACGACATTTGCCCTGAGTAATTAAATATATCATCATCTGCTCTGGAAAGGAGTTCTAGAGACTTGGGTCTGCCATTAGGAGAACCTTAGTCTCCCACTTTGCCTCAGTCTCTGACAAACAGGAGAGCTGAAAGATGTTACAAACACAAGGAGACAGAAAATTCAGTACCAGCTACTTTGCTATTCTGCCATGGTCCCTGAATGCCTCGTGTGGTTTGGTAGATAAAGCGTATCAACAGCTCCAGCAAATTTTTCAGATCACCCTGTGGGCTCTTTCCCGCAGCACCACAAATAAGCATTTAGGGGTGGAGGCTGACATTTACTGGCATTTTTGGAGCAGCATAAATGCACAGGAGGAAACAGAGGGAATACAGGGAATCAGAATTCAGGAGTACAATTTTCCCCCCCTACGCTACGGTTATAACACAAAAAGAGCAAGCTGTAAGAAGGCACAGCTGAGTTAGGGAAATAAGACCCACCCTCCCTCCCCCATTCTCTTAATTCACACAAGCACCACAGCATGGAGGTGGGAGTGGGACAGAAAATGAAAGGAGAGCTGAAGGGATTGCCTAACCGCTTTCTCCCTCCTGCAGATGCAGATATACATACACACACTGACAGGCTATGTATCTTCTATCCAGTCACATGTACACGTATGTTTCTTGCTCAACTTTAAACCTTCCCTATTTCCTTAAAACCCTGCAGCTTATGGATCTGTTCAGTAGCAGAATGATGTGGATAACCCAGCCCTCACCTGTCAAATACTGTCAACATTTTCCTTACACAGAAAAGAGAATGAAGAGATACAGCCTAATCAAGAAGAAAAGCTGGCTCTGACTTCTGTTCTGAATTCTCCCATCCCCCCAGTACAAAAATACTTCTCAAATGTGCTCATGCATCAAACATTAGCCCCTTTCTTCCTTCTTCGGAGATTTGAAATTTCTCAGCTTCTTGGGGACAGGCTGAAGCAGGACTCCGGACCAACAGATGACTCTCAACCATACTACCTACTACACTAGTCCATCT